TACTAATCTTACCAAAGATGGGGGGTTCCGAGAGCGGGATTCACGTGGACAGCATGAGGTGGTGCTACTTTGGACCGACAGTATGGTACCTGGCTCGGTATGGGCACATGGTTCAGAGAGGTTCTCTATCTGGCTTGATACCGGGCATATTTCTGGCTCAGCATGAGCTCGGCATCAGCGTACGTCAGGTTTGGGGACACTATCGCGGTTTATTTTCAGGTCCGGGACGGCTACGACAGTTATTTCAGCTTCGGCACCATTTGTTTCGGGTTYGGAACCACCACGGCAGTACATTCCAGGTTTGGCACCAATACGGCCGTTCATTTCAGGTTCGGTACCGTTGCGKCTATCGAGTCAGATCCGGTACTCGCTCGTCGTCGGCTTGTCTCAGGCCCGGTATTGGTCCGGGGTCGGCATGGTACAACCTATTCAGGTCCGAAACGGGTACGGTATGCAGCACCGAGTGGGTTTGGTGTTTGACTATTCCGGCTCCGATTTGGTACGGTGTGATGGCCACATTGGTTCGGTACTATCGCTAGGACAACATTGGTGCGGTAACCTCGGTCCACTATTGAGAGGGTCGGTAATGACCGCGGGTTCTAATTGAAACAGTGGCCGTGATGCGGCGCCGCGGGCTAGTGCTTATTTTCAGGCCCGGTACGACGTTGGAATTTCCCTGTGTGCCACTCTGATCTATTTCGAGGCAGCTGCGATTTCGCCGCGTTGGTTAGTGGCACAACACTAGCGCTTGGCACGTGGTCTGGACCTGTTGGGTTTAGAGGCTGGACCTTACCCTGCAGTCGAGACACCAACCGCAGTGGGGACCGAGATGCTGGGGAGCTGAGGCAGGTCGGTTGGCCACATGTTGCGGATATAGGAAGGACAACTGGATACCGCTGGCCACTGTAACTAGGGATGGTTCAGGCCCGGAAAACTGGTTCGGACTCGTACGGTTATTGGTTCGGGTACCAGAGCAAGAAGGCACTCCTTTTTCACTACCTGTCACAGACCAGAAATCCTACTATCCCGGTTACCGAGGAGGAGATTGTCAAAGTTGGTTGTAGCGACGCTCTCTGAAGGCTGCAGCCTTCGGTACCAAGGATATAGGCGAGCTCAGTGAGACTTGAAGGGGTTTTTTTTTTCCACGCGTGCAAGGCGTGCACGGTGTTCCCCGCGTACGTCCTCGAAGATTGTTGCAACGGGGACTGTGCGAGCCGTGCTCAGCGCTCTGGCACGGAGGCACTGGTGGTTACGAAAGGTGGAGAGAAGTGCAGAGGAGGGGGGGTAAGGAGTACGCCGCTCACTACGGGAGCGCTGCGGAGGGACACAAGCTCACTTGGCAAGTAAACGCAGGACGAAGGCCACGGGCAGATACGGGCGTGTAGCACGGCGCGCTTCAGCAACGGGGAGCGTCGTGGGATGGAGAAGACGAAGAAAGGGTGCCTGATGTGTGCTGCAGACAGCAGACACAACCTGCGCCCCCTTTGAGATGACGGAGGGGAGTTGAGAAGCGTAATAGAGATCCGGTGCGCAAGGCGTTCACAGCCTCCACGTGCTTTGGGAGGGAGAGGACTCGAAGCTTGCCTGACGTCCGTCGTGCGACAGGTTGGCTTAGGGACGCATGAGACAATTGGATCACAACGACCGGGAGGAGTATCCAAGGTGAACACAGCCTCCTCCCTGGTGCGTGCCAGGATATTGATCGGGTTCTTCCTTGCAGATAAACTGCAGTGTAAGAGGTAAGACCGKGCGAGCGAGGGAAAAATTTGTGCCCAACGGGTGAGTGTGAGGGAAGACAACGAGTCAAGCGTCCGGAGATGTGCAGCTGTGACAACTGTGTGATGGACGAATGTATGTGGCCTGTGAAGGTGTAAGTAATACTGATTTAATTATTTGCATTATCATTACAGTTAATATTATCATGAGTACCTGCAAAATCTCGATTAAATTGTCTGCACCTACTCGTTTATCAGTCCTTGAAGGATTTACTGTGCGAAAGGGGTAGTCGATCAGGCGGGGACAAATAAGCCTGAACGAGAACGCAAAAGTCAAGATATGGAGGGGAAAAAGTGAGCGAGGGCGTAGGAGAACCAGAGAGCGAGAGTAGAGGTGTGTGAGAATAGGGAGTATAGAGGAGGGCGAGCCATCGGAGGGACGAATCTGTTGCCCGAGCAACTAGGCTAAGAAGAAACCAGAAACGCATGTGAGGTTGTGCGAACGAGAAATCGCGCGTAGTCTCAGGGATGTAAATCGACTCTTCAATGTACCTGTACAGGACCTCTAGACAGACACGCCGAGTCCTGAACGTTTGTCGAAATCCGATATATACTTGAGAAAGCGCGCTCAAGCACGAGAAGGAAAGATAATTCAGCGATGTACCTGTTCAAGATCCTCGGCTGGATTCTCTGAACCTGAATGCTTGCTTAAATCTGACATTTACTCTGAAGCACATGCCTTCACTGAAATGGGGGGACAATCACTCTATGCATCTGTTCAAGGCTACCAGTCTGATTAACTGAATCTTGAACGTCATTGGAATCATCCACGTGCATGAGGTGAAGGTGTGATACCCGACCAAACCCCTGACAACTCAATCTGGCGCTTCAAGGCCGGGGAACAGATACTTTGAACCGCTGGTGCGTGATTGAAACTGCTAATTCTGGACTGGGCCCTCCTGAATGAGGGAAAGAGGGAGCCGTGAAAAAAATCGTCATCCGTCAACTGTTAAAAGTGGGGTGTAAGAGCACATGCTTCAGGGGTTTGATATCTGAATCTGAAAACTCGCGCGCATCTGGCCCAACTATGGTGGGAATCGCAGAGAACTCTGTGCGCGCACCCTCTTCATATATGGGGAACTTGACGCCCTGACAAGCGGGCAGTGAGAAGCTGTCAGGACATCCGACAGGACCATGAACAGACACTCACGCCAGGACAGCGAAAATTCGGTGTGATTAAGGAAAAAGCTTTGGTTACCTGTGAAAGAAAACGGGAAAAGAGGTTGGATAGTCCGCTGCTCCTTGAGAAGTGAGCTCGTTTATTGGTTCTATGCCCCCCCCCCTAGCACTCGTTGTCACCTCAAACTGGGGCAGTGGTGGTCCTCKGGCGGGACTGATGATTAAAGCAATGGACTGATTGGGGAACTGACTAGTGAGTGGTTCATACATCCCTTGCAAACCCCAACCTGTTAATGCGTAGACCCCTCTTTCAAGATTGGACTTATTGACTGAGAGGGGCAAGGCTYCTGGCTTAAGGGAAAGAGATAGAGGGGACGGACTTGTTTAAACAACAGCACATCCATCAAGGGCCAGTTGATTGGCTCGTTCGTAAGAGAGAGAAAGAGAGAACAGTGAGAGTGAACAGCCAGAGAGGACACCGCGAGTGAACAGCCAGAGAGATGAGAGAGAGAGAGAGACAGGCTGCACGCACAGAGAGAGAGAGAGGGAGAGAGAGACAGGCTGCACGCACAGAGAGAGAGAGAGGGAGAGAGAGACAGGCTG